AAAACGAGCTGAAACAATTCAGTCTTTCTTTCATAAATCCAATATGATTTTAGTAAAATGAAATTATAATAATTTTTAGCTCACTATCTAAGTTGTTCATCTTACTTGATTCGTTGTGTTGTAGGTGTGAGGCGTGAGGGTGGTTGGTGTTTTGGATCATCAATCCGATGATTCATGGTTCTTATCACGTTGCTAAAAAATCGTGATTCTCAATTTGAAACCCATGCATCCCCCGGTAAGACAGAGGTAAGTCTTCGGATTTACAATGCTAAATTCAGGGGTTCGATTCGACTCGGTGGACACAGCAGATAGCCTGATGTGGCTTTGCTATAATAAAACGCACATTGAACCCATGCGGAGATGAGTGACTATATATCGGTTGTATTACTTCACCTTCATACTGTTAATGATTTATTTAAAATTTTTCTTTATCAGCATATACTGGTTTTCGGTAAGGATAATATAATAGTATTTCAATCCAAAATCGTAAAAAAAGACAATATATTATACATAGATTATTTGTTCTTACTTATTATTTTACCCGCTGTTTCATATTTGATTTATTTATACATTCTAAAAAATTTTTTCTTCATCTGAGGTATTACACGAGTTAAAAAATTATACAAATTTATTACGCCACCTTTAGTTATTTTTCCTAAGTTTCGTTGAAGTATAAACAAAACAAAGTTTTCCCGCCAGTTAGAAGTATATGTTTTGCTTTTAACGTTTGCATGGTTGTTTTTGTGTTTACTAGCTTTATAACTTAAGTTATTATTACTTTTCTGGTTTGAAAGATTAATGGTAAGTGAATAAACGGTACAAAAAGATCCACATTGTTATAAATTGTTTTACACAGTTTATTACTTTTTATTAAATTTATTCGTGAGTAACTGATAGTGATACTATTTCTGTTTTACTATTAGTATTATAAATGTAAACTATGTGTAAAAAAAAGCACCATTTAAAAATTATAGTGTTTGTAGAAAGTTACTTATGATTTTATTATTTATTGTTTGTTTTATTTCTGAAAAAAAACGCATTTATATCAAAATTTTGTAATGGAATAAACTTTTCAGCAAGCATTAAAATTTAAAGACTGAATGATCTGATTCAGTGTCAGAGTTCTTATATATTATCTAGTATATTAAGCATTGAATACTGATAATTTTACTTTTTGTTGTGGCTGTGTACTTATTGTTGTAACGTGTTTTATTGTTAGGCAGGTTGTTTAGGATTATTTAGTAAAACGTAATGTCAAGTCCAATGTATGTAATAATAAAGGATTAGTTTAATCCTTCCTTACCATTTGCTACAGGCTACCTTCACAAGTTGTACTTTGTGCACGAACAACATTTTAACATAAATTGTGGTATCTACACCTAACTTACTTAGCTTTGGTCAGTAAACACTTAGCTCACGGAGTAACTAGATAGCAGAAAAGATGCAGTAACTCTTACTACCACTGAACTGAAACACATGTTGACTTCTTATTGCTCATTAATTGCATCTTGTAATGTCTCCTTATGTTTAGATATTTCACCAAGCTTCTTAATCCTAAATGATTATTATTATTTTAGATATTGCATCATCATCATTATTATATCAAAGAACTAAATAATAACATTGAAAATAAAGCTTGGAATATTATGAAGTGATAATTTTAACTTTAAGAAATAATGTGATTGATGGACTGCCTAAACATTCTTGTGAAATTAATATTAAAAAAAGCTATTACTCTCAGTTCTATTTTTAACTTAATGTCTTAATTAAATGTTTTCAATTTACAAATAACGCAGTAATTCCTAGACATGTAATCACCTTTTTTGTTTGTTTTACTGGATATTTGTGTTCTATGTTTTTAATATGACCACAAAGAAGATTATAATTTCTAAAATGTTGCAAAGATTAAACATACCTTTTGAACTGGTCAGGAAGTCTGTTTTATTTTTGAGTTTGATAGTTTCTGTTCCTTTTTTTTTCATATTTTGAATTAATATATTTTATAGGTGTTTAGTAACTAGATAAAATGGTACTACAAAACTCAGGAAAATTTAAACCAGATAGGTGGAAATCAAAAGATCGTAGCAGTGGTGATGGAGGATCAAACTTCAGGTGAATTTTATGTTTTCATGCGTAGTTTTTGTATTACTGTTAAACATTAAATGTTGTATTAAGAATTTTTCAAATAAGTAAAAGTTTGTGATTGCTCATTAGGCAATAAAAGTCCATACATAAACAGAATTTATGTGAATATGTTTAAGGCAGTTTAAACATTTTATAAAACTCAAGTTAACGGAAAAAGTTTTTTTTTCCACATACGTCTTAGTTCTTCTTATTAAATGCTGATTTATGACTACATTGGAAAACTTAAGAAGAATGTTGAAAAGCAAAAACATTTCCAGGTAACACGATTTTTATAACAGTTTTTAGGCCTGTTGATTTACAATAGTTTTATGGCTTTCAGTATTTAAAACAAAATTCTTAAAGTTTAAACAAAGATGAAAAAAACTCTTAAGACAGTTTAGTAATTTTTCAACAAAAACTTATAATATATATATAAACCAATGAATTGTTTTTACAAAATATTTTTTAACATCAAATAGACATCAGTTTTTTAAATTGTTCTTAAATTTGTAAAAGTACATAGCTTTCATAAATTTTAAACATTTAAAAAAAATTTTTTGTACACGGAGGTTGTATGTTTTAAATTAGTTGTTTTAATTTACAGTCGAGATGACAACTCGGAGAAAAGGGTACAACATTCACTATTTCACAATGAAATAGATTCTAAGTTTGGATTTAATCGTCACCAGGAGCCCATTGAGCGAATTGGATGGCTTGTTAATATTCACCCTGTAAGTATTTGCTTGATATACATGACTGTTTAAGTTTAATGCAAGAGTCATGATTTAGATAGTTTATGTAGCAAGAGTGTTAAATTTAATTGTTTTTAGAACTGATAGTTTATCGCAGGTTTCTTTATGTAACTGTGTACGAATTATATGTTGTGTAGTTCAGTTGTTGTGAATTGGTGCTTGTTGTATTATTGCATCATGTTCTAGAACCTTCTAAGTTTTTCTCATTGTTTTGATTGAGTATTATTGCATCATAATATCTTGTAGTGTGTATAACATTTTAAGCCTCAGTCAGGCTATAAATACACATCCAAAAAGTAGTTTGAGTAAGATATAGTAAGTTAGGTAGATAGTGAAATAGATTGTACTGCATGATTATGAGTTTAGCCATAAAGAGCTTACAGTGGTGATTTTTAAAGTGAATTATCACAGGTTGTATTGTAATAACAGAGTAGTGGAGAAATAATTTGTCTTGTCAAATTCTGTTCTAAAGTAACTGAACCAGCCTGCATGGACTTTGACAAAAAAGATACAATTATTTATAGTTCTGGATACAACTGTGATAACCAACAGTGTAACGAATATTTGTATATACATTTGTCTTGTTTTAATATATTATTTTAAAACTGTACTATTTCTTTATTGTGAAAATTTAACTGCAACAAGTCACAGATACCTACTGTAAAGAATCTGGCCCTAAAATCCTGAAACCAGAACTTGGTTAACCATTCATACCTGAATTAAAACATTAACAATTTTTTATGTCTGAAATTTACTAAAACAAATTAAATATACTAAAGTTCAAGTGATTGACTAGTGCTTTTAAGGGTTAATTTAAAATTATCTGACAGGAAAAAATGGATACTATTTATTAAATATCTAACAAATGCATGTAATGTGTTTGGTTTGTAAAATAGAAAGAACAAAAAAAGAAACACAAAACAAAATCATTAGGAATAATTTTGTTCTGTTTAATTTTCCACATCTGATAAATCAACAATCTCATTATATTCTTAATTTTTAATGGAATTATCCTTTTAATTTCAGACAGAGCTGCTGGATGAAGACAAAAGACTTATAAGTGCAGTGGACTACTATTTCGTGGAAGAAGACGGAAACCGATTTAAAGTGTCATTTCCTTTTAAACCATATTTTTATTTAGCCACCCAGAAAGACTGTGAACAAGAAGTTGCATCTTTTCTCACACGCAAGTTTGCTGGTAGTATTAGCCAAGTGGAGCAAGTTCAAAAAGAGGATCTGGATTTGGTAAGGTGGACAGAATGGCCAATGTATAATTATAAAAAGCAAGTTGAATATTATGGTATATTAGTATGAATGGGCAGAAGATCAAATATAAAAAATATTTTCTTTCAATTGATGTGTGTTTTTTTTTTTTTCAATCATTGCTTTTATACCAGATCAGTAAAAACTTGTAATAGATATATATTCTGAACTTGTTAAATGATTCAGTTTTTTGAGCACTCATGGCTCACATCCTGAAGAGGCCTAAGATTTGGCAATTGGTATTGTTGATTAACTTCCTTCCCTCTAGTCTGTTAGCACTTTACATTTATTTAAATGTGTGAAAGAAAATACATCAGTTTAGTTAAGTTTTGACTGTTATGGGATGCCTATTTTGTGGGTGGGATGACTAAGTTTTTACACTGGGGACTTGTTATAGAAGCAGAAATATCATATTACTCAAGAAACAGGCAGGAGTAGTCCATTAAAACCAAAACTCTACTGTATTTATGCTGTTTAAAATACCAATGCACGAATTGTTTTTCTTTCGTTTTGTTTGTTAATATAAAGATAATGTAATCACAGTTTCAGTATTACTAAGTAATTTTAACTTAGGAGAAAAAGAAACAAAATTGTATACCATTGGCTATTTTTTTCATCATTTTTTTAATTGTAGAATATATGCTTACATTTATAAATAGCCAAACCATTTGGTGGGCCTCAAGGCTAACTATCTGAAGCTGACTTTTCTTACTGTTACGGATTTGACAAAAGTTCGCAAAGAAATTTTCCCAGCTGTAAAGAAAAATCGCGAGAGAGAAAGAACATCTTCAGCATATGTACAGATGTTATCAAGGTGATTCTTTTGTATGCATTTATCATATCAAAATTTAAACGTGACGCCAACATATCTAAAGTAAAATATTGTGTGTAGAATTATACGTAAAACACTTTTAAGGGTATAAAACTACTCGTATTTTATAGTGACAGATTTTGATTTAATCAACCTGATTTTTATATGTAAAATTAAACAAAAAAGGACATTTTCAAACAATATATTGTGCATGTGTTTGTTAGTTCATTCTAGAAATTGTAAAAACCTGACTTTTGAAACATGATTTTTTTGTTTGTGGAATGAAATTAGACAATATAATGAAGAATATTTGAAAATTGAAGACATCAATCTTCGTATTTAAATTCAAATAAATATATGTATTTTTATTGTTATGGTAATAACCCTTTGTAATTTTACAAAAAGATCAAATAGTTAACAAAGATGTGTGATATCTAAAGGTTTGAAAGCTTAAATTCTTGGGCACAAGTCTACTGAAGTGATTAAACAGTTTATTTATTCATCGACTTTCTAGTACTTGATGCTTACCTATGTAATGGACACACTAACCCCACCCCTCCCCTAACACACTTAAGGGATCATTTTAAATCATATCCTATCATGTTTCATATGAACAGTAGCTTTTTCACACCTTAGGCTTTAAACGAAAATGAAGTTTACATGTTTCTTATAGTTCTAACTTTACAGTAAAAATAACAATTCTGTGAAGTGGTTATTGGAATGTTTTTTCAGTTCTTTGTCAGGAGGTGTGCATAGTGAACATTCTAAGAAGCTGACAGATCAGATGGAAAATATTATTGATATAAGGTAAGGAAGTATAATCTGATCTTATGGTGTATAACTCTGAGACTAGAAATTTATGATTTGTTAATCAGTAGTTTGTCAGATATGTTAATCAGATTTCAAACCACAGTAAAACTGATAACAGTTGTATATAACATCCTAGCTGAGGATGTGTGGTCAGAAGTTTGTGTCACTACATAATTATAAGAAAAAACAGGTTTCATCTCATGAACTTACTACTGCATCCAGAAGTTTGTGTATTGTAAAAATTAGTCTCACTGAAGTATGTAAATCAGCTGTCCTGATTAGGGTTACAGAACAGATTAATACCTGTAGTGAACCATACACTGGTATGTAAATATTGTAAAGAATGTCCAAGTTAGTACTAAATATTAGTCTCACTGAAGTATGTAAATCAGCTGTCCTGATTAGGGTTACAGAACAGATTAATACCTGTAGTGAACCATACACTGGTATGTAAATATTGTAAAGAATGTC